GTTATAAAACATGAGATATTTTATAAGAATTGGCAGAACATCAGAAACTTCTAATTATATTCATTTGATTAATTACAGAATTTGTTCTAGAAAAAAATTGTAAATAACATTGCTGCTCTGACTGTAGAAATTCATTGATACCAAAATAAAGCTCCTTGATCAAACAATAAATGCATGGATAAGATGACTAAATAATAATAATACAATAACAAAAAATTATTTAAGGATATTTTTAAGTAATAACAAAAAAAAAAAAAACATGAAAAAGAAAATTATTTATTTAGATTAAGAAGAACTGGAGGATTTGGTTTTTTGTTTTGATTAGCTTCAAAAATACTGAATGTGCAAAGAGATGAATAATGTGTGAGAATTTCAGCTGCAAAGAAAGTTTTTTGTTGTTATGTTGCGAAAGACAAAATGTATCCATAAGAAAACAGTTCTTTTTTTCATTGTTATCAAGATTCAGATAGGAAGTAGTCAGTCAAGACAGCAAACTTTGTCCTTTATAAAACTAGGACAACTGACAGTTCACCAACCAAGTAAACAATTGACATGATCAACAGAGTTATTAATAAATCTGATCTTTTCCATCATAAGGAACAAGTAATTGGATGAGAGATTGGAATTACATCAACAATAACATGACATACTACTTAGCATGTTCAAAAAATAGATTATTTAATAAGGCTTCAGAAATTTTGTGTTCTTTAATTGAAATCAAGAACATATCAATAGGAATCTACTTGCACCTGCTATGCAATGATTATATAATCGAAGTATCAAGGAAATCATTTAATAAAAACTGAACCTAATGACAAGATGTTGCTTGGGTTTTGATATCTATTGTGATCTTTATTAACTTTCAAGCAGACAATTTTATTGAACCTATTGTTAATTGAAAGGTAAAAGAGAATTTATTTTAGTCTTAAGGATATAATGTAAAATCTTTTTAATTTATGCCAAAGAAAAGTATAGCAACTTTTTTAAGTCAATGTATAGCATGTTTCAACACAAAGTTTTCAAATTTCTCAAAGTTTTCATACAAAACTTAATTGAAAAAAATACATGACAATCATCAATGTTAAAGCAAGAAAACACTCATCAAATCTATAGAATGTCATCAGCCAAGTGTTTATCAGAATGGTTCAACATGAAACAATCCATAATTTTTATCCTTTCAATACAATTTGAAAATAAGAACGCAATCAATAAATTATCAGTTCATCACACTTATTTTTAAAAACTGTACAACTTTTCATTAAGAACAATACAAAAGTATTGATTAGATATATCTAATAATGTGCATTGTTTTAAATATATCTGAGTTCACTTTTTAATGGATTCATTATTCAAATCTTGTCTGAATTTTTCAATTAAATTATTTAAAGATTTTTCCTTAAACAACAAGCATCATCAATTGATGTTTCACTGGAGATCAGCGGCTATCATTAGTTGATGATTTAAACATTTTTTTACACAATACATGCCTCATTCATTCATGATTTGAATCAAAATGGCGAATTAGCAACTCAAGGATTCATGAAATTACTATTTCCTAGGATTCATTTATTTCCTGGAATATTTGTCTGCAAATAAAGTTGTAGGAACAAACAAAAGACAGTGCAATGTCTGCAGGCATCCTTCTCAAAGAGAAAAGAGGTGGAAAATGGTGACAACTTAGTGCACAGAATGCACAACTCCAGAGTGAATAGAATTCTTCAAAGAGTATCATATCTTTTAAGGAATATTCAATTTAAGAATCTATCATTTGTTTTATTTCCCTTTTTTCTTTCTTTTTAGAATTGTAAAGAGTTCAAATATCATTTTTTTAAATTTTTGTATATAATTCAAGTGATAATAATCATAAAAACTACCCTTTAATGAAATTAATTTTCTTGCTTGTTATTTTTTTTACCTGCACATGAATGCAACTTTTTCCTGTTGCTTAAAAAAGGAATGAGAGCAAAATATGTGAGTTGAAATTAGTGTTTCAAAGAATAAATGATGACATACAAGGATAATTCCAGAAACTGTCAAAACTGAGAATTGTCTAAAATTTTATCTTATTATTTTAATCATATCACACCAAGCAAAGCAATGAAGCTACTAAGACACAAGGGGTTACTGAGTGTGAAAGAATATGAAAAAAAGAAAAACATTATTAATGAGAGAGAACAATAAAAGAACTGGAATTAAGAAGACAGTAGATAATGATTGACATTGCATTTAAATTTTTGAAGATCAAAGTTGACTGGAAAACAAGAAGCTGAAAGAGATATAGTGTGAGAGAAGAAACTGTCAGCATGGAACTTACAGTTATATCTAGCCATTTCAATTGTAAAATGATGAGACCTAGCTTGCCAATCTAGTACTGAAAAGAAAAGGCACAAGCAAGCTATTTTACAGTGGTGGAAAAGTGACTGAAGCCAATTTGAGGGGAGATTGAAAAGCATGTCTAGGTCATGGCAAAGAGCTCATCTGAACAATTACCATGAAAGTATTTATAGAAAAGGCACAAGGAACCTACTTTATACTGGTGGGAAAGTGACTGAAGCTAATTTCAGGGGAGATTGAAAAGCAATGTGCAATATTTAAAAATTAAATGTGAAAGGGTTAATATGAAGTTGTTTTTCAATTAAAGAATTTTTTTTTTGAATTGACAGGACAATTTCGTGATTACACTGGGAATAAATTTTAAGATAGTAGAAAACATTTATGTGATAAGCCATTAAAACCTATTTTGTGGCACATCATCTGATTATAATAAAAATGTCACTTTTCAAAAGGCTCTTCTGATTATAGTAGAAACAGAGTGAAAAGACTATAAAAGAGTTTGTGTACATTAGTCCATTAGTCCTTTTGTCTTACAATTCATGTTTTCATTAACAATTATCTGACAGAGTGTGACCAAAAGGCCATCTGTCAAATAATTAGTCACTGTTTATTGTACTTTTTATGGACAACAAATAAAACCATAATCCTCTGGGATTTACATCATTTAATTTCATTACCATCAAGTTGAAGTTTAGGGAGGAAAAAAAAAACAATAAAATTATTGGTCCCAAAATATTAAATTTTTTGTGCATAATTCAGATAAGGGAAAAAAAAAAGATTGTAAAGGAATGCATTGATAGAAATAAAAAGAGGTGAAAAACTGTAAACAATTTGGCCAAACATTTGTCACTTCATCAAATCCAGTTATATTCTTTACAAAATATTTGGTTATCCAGAAAGTTCATGCAGATTTTTAGTTGTTCATGTTCCAACACGTTAGAATGTGTCAAATTTATCGACATTTATCAAATTTATTGCTTACATCAGTATCTCTTGAGAAAAAAAATGTTTAAAATTACTTAATTCATGTCAATTTTGCATCCCTATGAAAATGAAAGACTATAAGGTCCATTTTAGACACTTGATTTTTTTTTCTTACCATAAAGACAAAAATGCCTTGTAAGCAACAAAAAAAGAGATGTGCAGTATATGGTGAAGGTGCTTTAGCTGACAGAACTGTAAGGAAGTGGTTTTCTAAGTTGGTGATTGTAGCTTTATTAAAAAAGAACAGTCAGGCAGATCCACTACAGATGACAACCAAACCAAGACATTGACTGAGAATAACCCACATTACACAACGCAGGAATTGACAGAAACACTAAATTTATCAAAATCCACCATCCATGAGCACTTAGTGAAGCTTGGGTACTCAAATCACTACAATTTTTGGGTACCATATGATCTGAGTGAACAGAATCTTTTGGATCGCATTTCATGTGATTTGCTGTATAAATGCAATGAAAATACACCCTTTTTTAAGCAAATTGTGACTGGTGATAAGAAATGGATCATTTACAACAATGTTCAGTGAAAAAGAACCTGGGGTAAGTGACATGAGCCAACTTTAGCCACCTCAAAAGCAGGTCTTCATCCTATGAAAGTAATGCTGTGCCTCTGGAGGGATTGGAAAGGAATCCTGTACTATGAGCTTCTGCCAAGTAACCAGTCAGTTGATTCTGAAAAGGACTGCTTGCAACTGGATGAATAGCAATGAGGTAGAGTGCAAAGAAATTCGGGAAAATGAAATATTTAAATAAAGAATTCTTTACACATTTTAAAGAGCTCTTTAGTTTTAGTTAAGTATTGCCTGAAATGCTATCCAAGAGTATTTGAGACTAAAATACTAATAAATAAATATGACAAAGAGACTTTTTTTGACCAACTTATTCAACAATAGGCTAATTAATTAAGAGATATTTTTAAATAAATAGGATTGTTTTTTTACATTCTACTATTTTGAAAGGATCAGTTGTTTCCATATAATTCTTGCTTTATATTGCCAAGCTTTGGTAATGAAAAGACTTGTTTCTAACATGATGAAATGTATTCGTTATAACTAATATATTTTTATGCGGAAGTTCCAGTTTATGAAGAGATGTCATTTTTGTTGTTGGGTTACTTGGATAATGTATGTTGGAAATTGTACAAATCTTAAAGAGTAATATAAAGTAAATGTATTTGCATAAAAAGAACCAGAAGCATTTATCAATAGTGGAGAGACATTGTAGTTTTGTACAAAGAAATTTTTAGCTCCTATAGAACAAATATAAATGAAAAATTATGACAGCAATTATTTTATGTAGAAATGCAACGGATATTCTGTTTTACTCTAATTTACATATAAAACATACAAGATTTATAAACAAAATGGCCTGTTACTGTTATTATTGATTTGTTTTTTTATAGCTTAACTTTTTGCAGATTATTTAAAACCAGAAAATATTTCTTTTTTAGACTGTAAACATTTCGGAGTGGGGGGGGGGGATAATAACAATTTGCTAATACAAAAGCTACTAATTAATCTCAAGCTGGGGGAGAATAAGTGGATTTATACTTTTCCCAAGGGTATTTGAACAAAAGTAAATATAAACCCAACTGGAATTGAAACTTGGTTTTCCAATTTCCAATTCTGAGCTATTATCCATTACACCACCTGCACATCCAAGCTTACAGCACCTGGTATTTTCAAGCAGTCACCCATCTAGGTACTGACCAAGTTTAACATTGCTTAACTTCAGTGATCTGACAAGAACTGGAGTTTTAATGTGATATGACAGTAAGCCATAATGAATTGAATGATTTATATGCATCGACATAAGAATATTTTAATTTTTTCATTTACACTATCTTAAGGCTCTGAAATGAGTGTATAGAGATTTCCTCTAGAATAGTGTTTATAACTGTTGAGAAATCTTATAATACATCTTACCATTAGTTAGTTCAGATAATGTCCCTTCAGAATATGGGAGATCACAGCTCTCCACTGCAACCTTAAGCAATAGTTTCTCTTTTATGACCCTTCTTTCTCTTCATGTCCCTTTGTTGTCCATGCATTTGCACAAAATTATCAAATAAGTTAAGTGATCTGTTTCTATTGATATGTAAGACTTCTTCCCTCATTATGTGTCACAAAAGGTTTGTCTGTCTCTTTCTGATTGTTATCAATAGTTCATTCTTTTGTAGTTTCTGCTCTCTTTAGAACTTCTTCATTTATTGCATCTTTTGTCCACAGTATTCTCAACATTTGTCTGTTGAACCGCATTTCAATCTTTTTAGCAGTTCAGATGGGCAGGGAGTTTCCCAGTCCCCACTTTCCACAGAGTCCAAAATCTCCACATCCTTGTAGGTGGCAAATTATTTCCCTCCTTTACAGCTCCTTTCTCACAGATGAGATGTCACAGGCCTTTTGTTGCTCTATCACTATTTCCATGGAAAGTGTTCAGGTGAACTACACTCCTTAGTTCCACCAGTCCTAACCTTCACGACTAGGGCCCACCATGCCATGCACATTGTAGCAAACCACACTTATTCCCTTTGTATTCTTTGGTGAGATGTAAGTTTCACTAGAGCAGGTTTGTCTGCATGAAACTGACTGTAACCGATTCCCAAGAGGATGCTTCCTCAATCACTACAAGCTTAACTTGTTCAAGTCTATGATTAACTGTTACCTTCCTCACCTATCCACATAAACTGTGCCTCTTACTCTGTAACCCTCTATCTCAAATGGCCCTCGGGCCTTGTACAGAGTGAACATCACTGTAAAAAAGAAATTCTTTTAAAAATATTCCGATGGTCAGATTGTAATAAGCTTTACAATTTATGATTAGTAAATATAGTTTTACTTTAACAATATTTCATAAGAATTATCACATTGAAAACGTATTTTAAAAGATTTAAAAACTTTATAAATTATTCAATTTAAAATTGTAAAAAAATGAAAACAAAATTCATTTTTCGTGGATAAATTTTTTCTTCAGAACAAAAAGCTTCTCTAATTAAATAATGTCTTAGTTTTGTTACGTTTTTTATTTTTCGATTCAGAACAGATTTTCGGTAAGAGTGGGTCTGATTTTGCAAAACAAAATTTGGTGATTTTAAATTCTTCAAAGAATTCTACTTTTAATTAATATAGTCACTAAAAATTATCACGTTGAATTTCGTAAGTTTTCATAAAATTAAGGGGCAGAAACAGATAATAAAAAATATTTTTACCAAGATTTTCTAATAAAAAAATTAAAAAATTTCCTTCATTTGTGAACAAGTCTTGAAAATTTCATAAAAATCTGACAATTATTTGATTCTTGCAAGAATTTCCAAATTAGTGTGTCTATCACTGCAAAAAAAGACTAAAATTTACTATAAAAAGTATGTATTGTACAACTATTATGAAAAAGAAAACGCTAAAAGAAATTAGCATCGTGATGAAAACATGCTCCAAACGTAATGAAAGCTTAGTTTTATCATTATGTTAGGGAGGATCAAGGTATATTTTTTTTGGTTATTTAATTAAATTTTTTACTACTTTTTAGAACATTCGAAATTTTGATGAAAAAATTGTTTTTCTTGCGTCAGATTAGTTAGTAGTTGTTATTTATTTTTAAGACCTTTTTTAATAGTGCAGTACCCATTTTCTTTATTTTCCTGAAATCGTGTTGTTTCTTTTTTCTCGGGTCTTGAATGGAATTCTGAAATCATGCTACTGAAAAACTGATAAAGTTTTAAAAAATAACAAACAATATATTTAATTTTAAACACTACAAATAATAGTTTACTTTTTGTAATTGTTTTTTAACATTAAGCTTTTTTTTAATTATATTTGGAAGTGCATCAAAATATTTACAATTTTATTAATTTTGTTAATAAAATTTTACTGTTTTTATGTGTGTGAGAGACAGAGAGAGAGAAAAGTTATGAAAATTGGAAAAAAAAAAAAAAAAAAAAAAAGAGTGTTTAGTAAAAATAAAGTGCGTGGGTGGTGGTGGTGACAAAAAGTTTCCAGTTTTTTTAGATCAAAGCAGTAGTTGAAGTCTAGACTTAGATTGCATTGTCAACTAAAATACTTTCAGTTGATTGAGGGCGTGGCTTATTTAATTACTGACACTAAGAGAGTGCTAATAATAACAATAATACCAAGAAAGAAACAATATCTTTGCATTTTTATGTGAAATCGGAGAAGGGAGTGACTAGAAATACAAAAAGTACGGATGTTTGTTATTTGTTATTTTTTTCTATACCCCCCCTTCTAAATAATTAATCACAATTATTACTCACGTCAGAAATTAAATTTTTTGTGATCAATGAAATGTCTTTAAAATTATTTTTAACAACGATTTAAATTTTTTTTTACTAAAATTAAAGCAAAAATATTCAATGGTTGTAAAAAACAAAAGTTTCTCCTAATCTCCTTAAGAATTCAAAAAATTGTTCATAAAAACTAGTGTCCCTTTTCCTTAAAATGTATTTCATATGAGAGATTCTAAGTATTTTGTAAAGTAAAAAATATTCACAGTAAGTAAAGAAAAAGATCAGTAAAACTACAATATAAACTAATGAAAGTGAGAGAAGTGCTTTCCCCCACCCCCAAAGATACTAGAACTAGAGGTCGATATGTTGTTTAAAGCATAATTTTGCAAAAATAAAGAAATTCTCAACTAAAAAGACTGTCGTGACACAATCTTCCTCTCCTCATTTCTATAAATCTATAGTTTCTTTGAAGTGACTTTTTTTTTTTTTTTTTCAAAATTCATGGTATTTGTAGCAATTTTAAAAGGCAAAAAAAAAAAAAAATTAAAAAATGTTACATTTAAATTGCGTTACACTGTTACACTACAGTGGATTTTAGGATATAATTAATTTAAACCAATGCTCAGTACGAGTCGTACTTCTATTTCTAAAGGCAAAAAAATAATTTACCGCAATAAGGCGTTTTACAAAAACACCAAGCTCAAAACAGCTGTTTAAGATTTTTCTTTCTTTTTTTTTTTTATTTACTTTGTAAAATAATAGTGGGCCAGTAACAAATAGCTTCAGTTGACAAACATGTCCCAAATTCTACCCAGCTGATAATGAAACAACCCACATTTTTCTTAAATAACAAAAGGAAAAGTACTGTTTTGCAAAGGTAAACAACGTGATAGTGAACTCGGCCACTCTAATGACAAACAGAAAGTTATTTCAGGTGAAGTGTAAAAAAAAAAAAAAAAAAAAAAAAAAAAAGAAAAAAGTATTTCCACGTCATCATCAAGAAGAAACTATTGTGGTGTAGAGAGCTTTTCAAAATAAATGTAAAATTATTGGACTTGAGGTGGTGGTGGGGAGTCGACATTAAATGTCAGTCAATAAATACAATAACAATCGGCATGTTCCTTCCTAGTTTTTTAACGACTACTAAACTTAGCTTAATTTTTTTTTTTTTTTTTTACATAGTTACAAACATGGGCGCCCCAATGAGGATCGAACTCACTATTTTTTAGCAACAATGACCTGCGTGACGAGCTTGCCAAAATGTGGTGGCTCAGTCGAAGAAAAATATTTTTTCTTCAATGCACATATTAAAAATAAAATTAAATTTAAAAACTATTTTTAAAGTCAAAAAGAAAAGACGAGCATGTCTTCAATTAAAAAAAATTGATATCAAATAAAACTTCTTTCAACTAAGTAAGTAAAAAGAGCATTATTTACAATTTACCTTCAGGTGAAAGCAGTCTAAGAAGATTCCATTATGCCGGCAAACAAAGCTTTTTTGTGTAGTAAAAATGAGACTTACCATGGAAAGAACTCATTTAAGACACGGTACTCTTTTCTGCTAAGTAGTCAGTCATTTTTAGGCAATCGTCACTAGACAAATCACCAAACCAAGAAGCAGTAAAAATATAATAGAATTCAAAATAGAGGATGAATTATTAAATATTGGTAAGTGTCCATTCTATAGTTAAGCTTTTAAAAAAAAACAAAAAAAAAAACAACAAAAAAAAAACACTAGCACTTAGAGTAGACACAATTACTCAAATGAAAAATAAACAAAAAAAGAAACGAATGTCTGCTGAACAATATTCCATGTGAACAATAGATTTTTTTTTTTTTTGCTTTCTATTTTATGCATAATTTAAGTTAGACTTAATTAACACTTCTATTGAATAACAATATAACATGAACTTTTTAAAACAGTGTTAGGTTGCCCTGAGTTTAAAAAAAAAGTAATTTTTTTTTTTAATTTAGATAATTATGCCCCCCCCCATTTCAACTGCGCTTTAGTTTTATTAACTCTTTCTTTCTTTAAGCAACCTATAAAAAATTAAAATAATTCAAGTTCTTATTAATAAAAAAGTTTTAAAAACATTTGCAAATGATTTACTTTTCGTTTTTTTCTCAATATAATTGCGTGTCTGTAACTCATTTAAACGGAAAGTAAATATTTGCAAAAATGTTTTTCAGTTTCACTCTAACCACCAACTAATCGTCCAATAAAAATAAAATAATTTTTTTACACTTTGTGCAAAACTCGATTTATTTTTTTTTAAAAAAAGTATTTTTTAATGAATAAATTGATTTAATAATCTTTTTTCTTTTTTTTTTTTTATGCAAATAAAATTTTTGGGAAAGTTAAGCACGTGAAAAACACGATAAAAAAAATGTTTTATTTCTTTTCTTTTTAAAGTTTTTTTAACTTAGAGAAATTAAAGAAAAATAATTTCATTTGTTCCCTTCCTAGTTGATTTTTTTTTTTAAAAGTAAAATAAACATTTCTCAATTTTCTTTCTCGCCACAGATGGAATTTTTATTTATTTTATTTTGACTAAAAAAATTGTTTTAAACTCAGTCATTTTTTTTGTTTTCGGTGTCCTAGAAAATGTATTTTATTGATTCCTAAAACTAAAAAAAACTTTTCAAAATCTTAATTTCGATTAAATTTGAAAATAGCAGGATTCTTTAAAAATTATGGCAATCATTTTCTAAATTGCATTAATGAATCACTCCTCGTAATTAAATCTAATTTCGGATAAATTTATTTTGTCACTATTTTTATCGTAAACAACAGATTTTACTTTTGTGGAAAAGTCTCACTTTCAGACTTGAAAACCGTGTAATAGTTAAAAAAAAAAATGATTTGAATGAAAATGAAAGTGTTTTTTTTGAAACATTAAAAAAAACAGGTTGTCGGTTGTCAGAAAACTTTTTGCTGCAAACCTAAATTATCTCCTTCTCAGAAAAGACTTTATGTATTTATTTAATTCATGACGGAAAATTGTCGATTTTTATGACACAATTTGAATTTTTCTTCTATTTCCCCCAAAACAATTTTATAGTTTTTAGTTGTAGAATAAACAATTCAATTACGAACAATAAATTTAATAACGTGTCAAAAGTTTCAAGATTGAACGCTATTATCATTTTATTTTTTAAATGGGGGAGGCAATATTCCTCTTAAACTTGAGAAAATAATCTTTTGGTAGTTTAAATCCTATTGTATATTCTCCGTTTATTGCGGAAAGCTTATTAATAGCTCTTGCCAGCTAACGGCTACAAGAAAAAATGGACTTATGACGAAAGAAAGTTGTAGTCGCCCTTACTACCACTATTTACGGACAGCTGAAGGTGTTTAAACTTTGCCGATCACCTTAGCTGTCCGTGGAGAACAAATGCGCTTACCTTGAGATCCTAATAGTACAATCTTAGCCTCTATCGTCCGATTAGTGTCTACTTCGCATTCCATCGTGCTCATCGTTTGGGATAAAAAAAATGAAGCCACCACCGTTGGCGTCGCGTCCCTTACGACACCATTTTTGTTTTGATCACGTGATCACCCATGCGAATAGCAGAATAAACTGTTCTGTTCATTCTATTATTTGTTTATTCCGATTGAAAATCATTCTCATATACTTTCGCGTTGATTATGCACACTTTCTTATTTAGATATAAATTTTTCTAATATATATATATATATATATATATATATATATATATATATATATGCAATTTTTAAAAAATAGATCCAATATATTAGGTGAATTAATATTTTTCACCTTGTCATACAAACCAATAGTTGAGAACTTCAAGGTAATGGCTACCATATATGTGCAATGAACTATACAGAGAGAAAAACATTTAAAAAAATAACATTGTGAAAATAATAATTACTAGAATTTTGAAGTATAGCAGTCAGTGATATTTATCCAAATAGTTTTCATTTCAAATAGGACACCACAAAATTAAGTGTGTCTGGGAGTACTACTAAATTAGATTCTTTATTCTGCATTTTTTTTATCTGCTCTTTTCATGAAAATGAATATTTTTGAAATTTCTTATCCTTCTATATACTCGTCTTAATTTTCAATACAAAATTTCTTCTTTTCACCTGTACTTATTTTCTGGAATGAGACCTAGAGACCCCTACCCCTATTAAAAAACCTAATATTTTAGAGGAGGGAAAAAGGTAAAATGAAGTCTTGGGCTTTATTTTGAAAATTAATGGCAGTAATGATTTTAGACAAAAGATGCAGCTTGGCTTACTAGATTTATCATAGATTGAGGACAAATTTAGTTTTCTGTTTTAGTTCACAGCTTCAGCCAAAAATGGAGTGGTTGAAGACACCCTGCCCAAGCTTCCCTTGTTGTGACATGGATGCGTTTTACTTACATCATTTTACATGTCATTGTCAGTGATTTCAATTTTTATAGGGTGCTATTAATATGCAGCTTTCTGTCAAAGATGATTTATTAAAAAAATATCTGTTTTTATTAAACATGAACAAAGATTTTTCAATTCTGATTTAAATGAGAAAAAAAAAAGCATTTCTAAAACTTCACAAAAACTCTTTGAAAGAACTTACCTGAAAAGATGCAGTTTATCCCTATTAAAATAGCTGGTTTGTTTTATTGAAAGAAATTAATGCCTATTGTAGGTTTTGTTTAGGTATATTGAATCTAGCATAAGGTTTACAAATTTTGATTTCACTCTATAATTAATAACATATTTGAGATATATAAACTACTAGCTTAAAAGCTGCCCTATTGGTTGGCATTTAGGCTAGCTTCTGAAGAGAGCCCTTGATTGGTCCTTTGGCTTGTTCAGGAGTTTGAGAGTCCTTAAGTCTTTGCATATTCTCAGCATTGGAAGCTCTCCTGACTGCCATTTGGTCTGGGTTTTCATCTGCACAGGACTTTGTTTTCCTCATCGCAGCCTTGGATCTCTTGATTGCAATCTGGTCCTCTGTTGGTGGAGATTTCTTTTTGTGAGGCATACTGCTACCATATGTGATAGGCAACAATAAACTATATAAGAACTCAAAATTGTTCGCTGCATTTAAGTATTGCATCAATATTTAAGCTTACCTTTTAAAAGTTCAATGATAATTCTTCTGATGCCACTTAATTTAAAGACAATTTGACTTACATAGGTTTTTACTTTGTGTACAAACAATTATTTTTATTTCATGGGTGGCTTTTGCTGGATTTCATAATTAATGTGAATTATTCCCATTGTCATTGTAGATACAAAAAAATTTGTTGCAAAAAATTGTTGAAAACAATCACAGTAATAAAAACTTGGGAATCCAAAATTTCAGAATTGCAGGTCTGGATCTGGCTCAGAATGTTTTTAGTTTGCTTACAGGATTGGCCTGATTCCAAAATGGTATGACATGTTGGGCTACGGCCTCTAGGAGTAAAGTTGAAAAAGTGTGACACACTGACATTTGCATTTATTATATATAGGATAATATCATTGTTATATAATGTATTTTGTTTTTTATTTTAATTTAGTGGGAACGAATAGGGAAATTCTAACCTGGGAAATGCTGTTTTATTATAATTAAGATAATTCATTCAGATAAAGATGCATTTAAAGTGCCATGATCTGTGAATCCAATGTTATTAATATACAACCTGAGCTTCTTTAGCCTCTCACTCATTTCTACTACACTGGTGTTGAAAACAAGGTGTGATATAAAACCTCTTAAAATAAATGAATATACAATAAAAAAAAAACAGATAAAATAAATAAAATTTAGTTTGAAAATTATACAGTTTGTGGGAAATTTAGTGACTCCCCAAATTGAGTCATGGCTGATGAACAATGATGAGACAAACAGTTTAGAAATCATACTTTATATAAGAAATACATTATACAACGAGAATGAGAATATAGAATTGCTAAAAATGTATTCCTTTATCATGGTATTGGGGAGGAAATCCGAAAACTGAAATCCAAAATCTGTTTGAAATTGATTAAAACACTTATCTGATGTTACTCATATTCCTCTTTTGATTGCTGCTTGTCAATGCATCATCCAGGTTTGCTTGTGGCTAGCATCACCTGTTCCTAGTAGGCTAAAAACATGTCTGTTCACCCCATGGTCTGGAAGCCTCAGCATTGGTGCCTAAATTCGATTTGGCACCTAATTTGGGGTCTTGCTCATTATTAAATGGACCCATCTTCTATTAGCAGGTCTTATCAACCGAAGGGAGATAACCTATATTTTTTATAAGTCAGAGTAAAAAAAAAAAAAAAAATTGATTAACATTGCTCAAGTTCTGTTTTAACAATAAAATCCATTTTTCTGGTGATAATTAAATTTATTGGGAGAAGAGACGATATCAAATCTCTCATCTTGAATATTTTCAATGGTGCAAATGGAAAAACACAAATACTCTTAATCCAACTGAAATTTGCAGAGAAACAACATTTATTACAATGACAAAAATGTTTTTCACATTATACAAATTACAATATAGTCCTTGCACAAAATTTCCCTTGTGTTCCTCAAATTATTAAGGCAGGTTTACAGTTCTTTCAAATACAAATCAGTTTTCTCTTAGAAAACTAGAGTTTGTGTAAAGCAAATGTTTTCCATAAGAAAGGGATTTTAACAACTTTCTTTTAGAGCAGCATGAACTGCTGCTCTAAAAAGAAATCAATAAATCAATTTCTTACCAACAAAAGAAATTTACTTAAAAAAAATTTACAATTCAAAATGTCACAGATTGAAAGTTTAAATTCAAAGGTGAAAGTTGAAGTTCAAAGGGAGGTAAGAAAAGTTTAACCTACTTTGATGAAGCTGCTTTTCTAGGTTCTTTTGATGAAGGTTCAGATTTTTGGAATGGGCATTCTCAAATCTGAGATAAACTCTAACAAGTTTATGAAAATCATTCATATTAAGAGAATTTAAAAGATTCCTCTTCTATGTTCTTTGTCAGTAACAGTCATAGTCTTTTATCATCTCGGGTCACTAAGTGGTCTATTTCTTTTCTCAGCAGACTGTGCTTAGATGGTTAAAGTTTTCTGCCTGATGACAGCCTGTTGCCTAAGTGGCTTAATCCCTTCTCAGCAGCAGCCTTTTACCTGATTCTGGTCTACCTCTTTCTGCCTTTACAGTCAAAATTCTTTTTATTCTCATTAGTTGAAAAAAAAATCACCATTCAATTAAATCACACTCATTTTCAATTCAAATTCAGTTGGTTTTTGAAAATATCAAAGCCAGGCCCACCCTGTAAAACTTTACACATCAATTTTCTTTTTTTTTTTTTTTTAATTTATATATAAACCATTAGGCTTAATTTTAGCCATTTCCTTTTCAAAGAAACAGTGTTAGTAACATTGTAAATTAGTTTTTAATACAATTCACTATTAATTTTTATTAAAATGGTTTCTACATTTTTGCACAATTCCAATATTTTAATATTTTCTCCTATAAATTTAATAATATTGTTTTTATTAAAAATAATTTTTTAATGATGCTGTTCAATCAACAAAACATCAAAATCAGAATTTTCCAAATTTTCTTACATATTTACTACCATTTACTGGGAATAGTCAAGTTATAAGAACATTGTTGCTTCATACTGGATTGATATGAATCTGACAACTCATTTTGGAAATGAAACTTTTCAACCAAAGCCTAAATCTTACTTGTAAGATCCCTGAAAAATTGTTTTAAACTATTTAATCTATATTTCAAAGTAGGAAAGTTAAAATGAAGACCATAAAAGATTAATTTTGTCGAGTAGTTAATTGTACTTGTATGGCTGTCTATGGGTTTCCAGTTCCTTCTAAAGTCTTTCAACTGTACACTTTAATATCTCCACCTAAACTCAGTAATTTTAATTACTTTTTATTTATTTTTTTGTTTATTTTTTCCCCAATAGGAGTAGATAGGTTTGGTTAGCATCTGGTTCGCACTCCTCCTCAATCTTTTGACCAGGAGTAGAGGGTTATCGCTTGTTTCGGGTTCCTTCTAAAGTCCTCTCATACTTGTTCATTCTCAGTAGCCCCCATGTGTCTTAGTGGCCATATCACCTTGCTTGGGATGAAATGATTAAAAAACAAAAAAGACTTATGAATTCATGCTACCACATCATTGATAGCTTGCTTGTACTGTTACTGTTGCTGTTGCTTATTTTCTTTTCATTTTGTCAATCACTCTTCTAGTGCTAGCAAAAATGTGGTATTTTTGGCATTGTCACTTGGCAGTGTTTTGGTCATCATGGACATCGTATGTTGACATCAGCAAGCTTGCAGGTAACCAGATTCCGCAGGGGGATTTCACCCTGTGGTCATGGTGATTCTGCAGAGATTTCCAGTGTGCAAAACTTGCAACTGTGGTAACATCTTTGCTGAAAACTAATTTCAAGGCACAAAACAACAAGCTTTGTTGATATCTATCAATGTATTTAATGATGATAAATTGAAGAGTTTAAAAATATAAGGAGTAAAGAATTATGAAT